ATAAGAAGTAGATCTAGACAAAATGTATCATTTTCATTTTAGCTGAGTACGGTTACTGTTTGAAAATCGGCCGGTTTTACAAACACTCTAAGCATTGGTTTATAGCAAGTAGTTTGTTTTTGGAAAAGCAAAACAATAGAGAAAATACCGATAAAACGGTGAGATTCTAATTTATGGACGACCTTTAAATGATACTTATGGTCAGCTTCAGATGATTGGATACTTCAATGCATGAATGCTTGTAAGGAGAAGAAAATATATGGGAAAGTGTACCAACCATCCATATATAATAGCACAGTGTACTGATAGATTACGATTAAAGCAATCAAGCAACCTGAGAATATCTGTTAACTTCATTCTTTACTAATGAAGGTTATGGTCCGTGAACTCATTCCTCACAAACAGCATAGTCCCCCACCCTTTAGGGATACAGTCAAAATAACGAGGCAGGCAGTGACAGCTTAAAAATCAAGGCCAAAGTCAACGGGACAAGCTACTAGTTAAATGTGGAGAAATTTGAATACTTCACTTCTACCTGAAGTCAGCGTTGTCTAAAATATTGATATTAATTATGGAGAATGGGGTTGTATTGAGTGGGTTTAATTTAACGCGGAACATGAACAGCCAAATTATTGATAAGCTTAGGCTTTTGCTTTGTTCTCTATAGCCAAAAGATGCCTGAGTTCAGACAATTCTGTCAATTAAGTGAAGTATGATCTGAAGTGCAAACATTTCGAAATGTTCGTATTAAGAATGCTTTGATCTTCTAGACTTTCTCTTAAAAGTATTTTGACTCATATTGGCGTTATGAATTACATGGTCTATATTTGGTGCTATGCAGTCAGGACAATAAATGAAGTTGTGATATAAATCTGTAAGCGCAATTTCTATACTATTTGTAGAGAAGTATGATCCTCATGGTAAACATGGAATAAGAGTTACACTGTGCCTCTGTGATTCCTGATTAAATTGCCTTCTTTATAACTCTGTTGCATCTTTAGAGTCTGACAGTCTAGCGTTTGGTTAATGGAATATACTCAAGATAACTCTGTGGTCACCCATATGAAATTCATTAGCGACAGACACTGAGATTAGGTTAAGGTCGATTAAAAATATCAAGTCAAGTATATCCTTCCAATGTGTTGATCCCATCCAAACATTTTTCATTGTTTTGACAAAATTTTTATATCGTTCTGGTACTGAAGTCCAGTTGAATGATGTGTTCAGCAGATTAAAGTCCCGTCCAATAATTTGACGCATGCGTGGTTGATTTAAAACAAGAGAAATATGTTTGTCAGTAATTTTTCAAGTGTAGTATCTGCATTTGCAGTCGGTATATACTTCCCGCTAATAGATATTGTTTAGAACCCCGACTTACAGAAACTCCAGTGGAACCATGTGCAACATTAGAACATTCATTTTCAAAGTTAAATGCTTGAACAGACAAAAACAGCTGTACGGTCCCCATTCCATGTTGTCTCTCTGATCAAAAGAAAACGTACATATCTGTGCTTAATGAGTGAACAGACATGGATGATTTTCATCTCGTTTTCTTGACAAATAGAATGCTTGAGTTAAGGAGCAATAAAAAGGTTTTTAGGTGTTTGATTTTGTTGGAGAGTGAGCATCAAACGAAAGGATGAAGAATTGAGAGGGGTCCTATGAAGAGTCAGATCAGAGAAGATTTTCCAGAAAACAGTAAACCGAGAAGCATGTCCTGTTGAGCATAAGGTATTAGATGCGAAATTCTCGAAAATGTATATGGCAAATGTGAGCTCAAAAAGTATGCCCGTGTTCAAGAAAATGATAGAGAAATTGTAGGCTTTTGATTCAGAAAGGCTTATAGCTCTTTAAGGTCTATGATTATTGGCAATATATTCATTATCTTTTTCACGATTTGATCTCTTTAGTCTCGATTCTTGTTCTTTTGGTAGAGAAAAAAACTGTGCAAAATATTTACTGTAATTGAAAGAAATAACTGGGAAAATTTCGATCTATAAAAAACATGAAGCAAATTACTCTCCGGTACAATTCTTCAAAATGGAAAGATATGGCTTTTGTATCAAAACCGTCTGGGAAGTGTCTATATTCATAATCATATGATAAAGACGAATAAAGAGTGTGTTCAAAGGAATTCAAACCATCCAAAAATAATATGATGCAGTACAACCAAAATGTAGAACACAAGTTTAAGTAAAAATGCAGTGAATAAATGCTACGACAGACTCAATTATTCGGATCAGTAATTTGGGGATCATCACGGCTGTGGAATTCAGGAATCAGGTAGACCTGACTGAGGGACTTCAAGCTTGGTACGGTTCGAAGAACGACATGTCTAGCCAAATTAGGTGTATCAAGAGCCGACCTACATCTGTGAGACAACAATGTGAGGCCATAATAAATGCACAAAACTGACAGTTGACCTCAGCCAACAACCCCTGCCACTTGACAAGAAGATAATAGCAGAGTAGATTGAACGCACTGCTGTTAGGGATGTTAGATCCCCAGAACACGCCTGATAAATGTTTTATTTTGAAAGTCACGTTTGTGAGCATGAGCTGATCAGTTGACCTTGAGATTTCATTTCCCACCAGGAAAATCCTTGGCTGTGATTTGCTGCAGTGTATTTTAGTCTGCTATTTTTATGACTGTCCCAAGGACGTCTGTATGATATATAAATAAACGCGATTTGTGTGCTTGATTGCATTGTCCTTGCTGGGCGTTTGTAGAATATACTTTCTACACTTATCAAGACTTCTTTTTAGCCTTTTCGGACCAAGGTAACCTACCTGGACGCTGGTTCATACTCTCGCTCACATTTATCGACTAAGAAGAACCCGTAATAGTTTCAAGCATACCTAGTGACGAGCCTAATAACTGCACAGGCAAAAAACCTGAAGACGCCAGTTTCCACTGAACCAGCCAACTCGGTTTGAACAACTTGTTTGAATATCTGAAAACGTCTGTTGCTGCAGAGGTGCACAGATGCTGAGACAAATCACCAAGTGACTCCATAGCAGTGTAAGAGGACTAAGTTGTTAGAAATCAAGAATATGTGCTCTCAGATGGATCTGAAGATCATAATCCTAATTGAAACATGGTCATTCCCTGACATTGAAGTCGACAAAGTGAGCTCGCAAGACATGACACTCTTCCGAAGCGACAGGGTACACCAATCAGGAGGTGGAGTGGCTTTATATATAAACAGACACTTAAAAGCTGAGAGGCTATACGACACCCGAGTAACTTAGGTGAAAGAATCATGTTGGTGTTGTTTCCACACAAATGGCACGAAATAGTTGACTGAAGTGATTCATCGTCCTCCTCAGGAACTAAGGCCCAGAAAGATAAACTTACTGAGGCAGTACGGCAACTTCCACGCCTTGTGGTTGGTCAAATACTCTTAGATGGAGAATTCGAAACCCTATCTAAATCTCACGAATCAGAGTCTAGCTTCCACTGGTTGGTTCCAAAACAAACTTCACCGATCAGTTAAACCTAGCATCCACATGTTCAGAGTACTACGCGAACCCAGTGCCAGCTAACGGCTTAGGAAATATCCGAATTACTCCTGACTTAGTACTAAGTAAACCAAAATCCTTGAGCTGAAGAAACTCACCGGAGTGTGACAATATTCACCCCATAGTCTTGAAACTGTTCACAAACCCTCATTTCACCTATATGTGACCTGTTCAAGCATTCACTGAAACCACAGCGACTCCCAGCTGAATGGAAACAGGCTACTATCTCACCAATCTTCAACGGAGGAGATGGGAAGGACACAGACTTTTACAGACCAGTCGCATTACTACCAATACAATCGAAGGTAATGGAAGGGCTGGTGAACGAACAAATGAGGGAGTAGATAGATAAGAACAAAATCCTCCATGAAGCCCAACACGGATTACGGAAAGGCAGGTCGTGAGCATCCAGTATTCTCATAACTTGGGACAGTCGAACATCCTGCTGGGACTGAAAAATACAGGTGAACATACTATGTCTTAAATTTGCAAAATCCTTTGACACAGCACTCCACGCTCTCCTAATTGCGAAAGTTGCAGAAATGGTATTCACTAACCCACTCCTACTTGGCTCAGAAACTACCTTGAGAACAGAAGGTTTCGTGCCTAGGTAAATAGAGTGCACACGAGTTGGCGAGTCTCAGCATCGGGAGTTTCACAGGAGACCATCTTAGCTCCACTCCTCTCTCTGATATTAATTACCGACCAGTCAGACAAAGTCAGCTCTGCGGTAATGATCTACGCAAATGATGCAAATATCTGGAGGTCCATTAGAAGCTATCAGGATTCGACTGAGCACCAAAAGGACCTTAAATCCACTGGGGACTAGACAATAAAAAACAATCTAAAGCTAAACTAGCCGAAATGTCGCG